TAAACAAAAGTGGCATTTACATTACAATACTGCTTGCCAACAATCTCATTTTCTGGTTTAGTCAGCAGCCCTTCATGCTTGATTAGTCTTTAATTATACAAATACCTACATATTAGAAAAAGTTTTCTTTTTTCCATACTTTGAGCATGTAATTATTTTCTCTTGCATTTGATAATCTTTAATTTTAGGATTAAGCAACTGATTCCTTTTAGTATGGATGGGCCTTTTCAAGTGTTAAAGCAAATATGGTTTATGATAAAAATTAACTTTAGGAAGCCTGTCATCAGTGCATTTGACAGCACCCTGATCAGGTGTTACAAAAAGCATTGGGAATCCAAAAGATAAAACTTTATTTCTATAGGTTTTTTTATTTCTTCCTGCCTCTTTGTTCTGAAAAAATGGTAATTTAAGCAATTAAAGCCTGCAATATAGCTATTTTCCTATTTCCATAAATTAGGTCTCAAAGCAGATACTTTACCTAAAACATATTTTAATACAAAGGCTATTTACAGTTCTGGTAAGAAACCCCACAAATATAAATGTTTATAATTTTTCTATAAGAAATCCACAGAAAGTTAAAAATATAGGAACATCTTATTGGGTAAGATGATGCCATTTGAGGCCAAGTAGCAATGAGACTTAGAAGTTGTATCGTCCATTTCAAAATCCAATAGTAGAGATGGGGAAATCCTTCATGTACTGCCTGATACAGTGCTGAATTCTTATTCCATATTAATTTCCTTCTCTCTCCTTGGCTACTAAGCCCAGAAAAAAACACCCATTTCCTTGTGGGAGTCCTCTCAAGCAGCAAAGTAATTTAAAAATGTCACAGCGTTCAATTAGCCACATTTTATTTTATTTTTAAAGTATATTTTATTATTTATGTTAACAAAGTTGTCCCATTTTTTTCATGTCCATGGGTAGTATGTATAAGTTTTTGCCTTCTATATTTCCTACACTATTCTTAACATCCCCCTGTCTATTTTGTACCTACCAATTATGCTTCTTATTCCCTGTATCTCCCCACCCCCAAACTGATAACCCTCCATGTGGTCTCCATTTCTGTGATTCTGTTCCTGTGTTATTTGTTTGCTTTGTTTTTGTTTTTAGGTTTGGTTGTTGAAAGTTGTGAGTTTGTTGTTAGTTACTGTTCTTAGTTTTGATTTTCTTCTTTTTCTTAAATGAGTTCCTTTAACATTTCATATAAGGGCTTAGTGATGATGAACTCCTTTAACTTGACCTTATTTGGGAAGCACTTTATCTGCCCTTTCACTAAATGATAGCTTTGCTGGATAGAGTAATCTTGGATGTAGGTCCTTGCTTTTCATAACTTGGAATACTTCTTTCCAGTCCCTTCTTGCCTGCAAGATTCCTTTTTAGAAATCAGCTGATAGTCTTGGAGGAACTCCTTTGTAGGTAACTGTCTCCTTTTCTCTTGATGCTTTTAAGATTCTCTCTTTATCTTTAATCTTGGATAATTTAATTATGTTGTGTCTTGGTGTGTTCCTCCTTTGGCCCAATTTCTTTGGGACTCTCTGAGTTTCCTGGATGTCCTGGAAGTCTATTCTATTTCCTTTGCCAAACTGGGGAAGCTTTCCTTCATTATTTGTTTAAATAAGTTTTCTATCTCTTGCTCTTCCTCTTCTTTTGGCACCCCTATGCTTCAGATGTTGGAATATTTGAAGTTATCCCAGAGGCTTCCAAGTCTCTCCTTGTTTTTTTTTTTTTTAATTCTTATTTCTTCATTCTGTTCCAGGTGAATGTTTATTTCTTCCTTTTGTTCCAAACCATTGACTTGAGTTCTGGTTTCCTTCCCTTCATTGTTGGTTCCCTGTATATTTTTCTTTATTTCACTTTGCATAGCCTGCACTTCTTCCTCTATTTTGCAACCATACTCAATCATTTCTGTGAGCATCCTGATTACTAGTGTTTTGTTGAACTCTGCATTTGATAGGTTGGCTATCTCCTTGTTGCTTAGTTCTTTTTCTGGAGTTTTGATCTGTTGTTTCATTAAGGCCATATTTCTTTGTCTTGGCACTTCTGTTACATTTTAAGGGGTAGAGCCTTAGGCATTCACCAGGGCAGGGCAATGCACTTTGCTGTGTTGTGGTAGTGTATGTGAGGAAGGGGTCAGAGAAGGAACAATGCAGCTTGCTCAGCTCTCATCCTGCTTTCAGTCACTTCCTCCTCCACTCAGAAGCAAATTTGGCTCTTCTGGTACTGATTCTTGGGTAGGTGGTTTTGTGTATGTTCTGTTGGTCTCTCTAACTCTCCTGTGAGGCTGGGAGTTTCTCCAGCCATGACAACCCCTACAGAATTTTACAGCCAGATATTTTATGGCTTTAGTTTCCTGTACTGAAACCCTGGGTTGTGCAGTCTGTCTCACTCCCCAGTTGTTCCTCCAGGCTTATCTGCATGTGAATGTGGTCTACCAGCTACTGCCTTGCACCCTTTGTCTGCCATCTTGTCATGGGCCCTTTCCTGGCTGCCTGTCTATGCTCCTCCTATTAGTCTGGATGAATGTTTCTTCTTTAACTCCTTGGTTGTCAGACTTCCACACAGTTCAATTTTCTGGTAGTTCTGGTTGTTCCTGGTTTTCAATTTGTTGTTGTCCTTCTTTTGACTGTTCTAGGAAGCAAAACGTATGTATCTATGCCTTTATCTTGGCTGGAAGTCTGCAATTATCCATATTTTATAAGTACCATGTTCTAGGTTCTATGGTAAGCTTAAAGGACATAGAGGTGAATGACTCACAGATGCACTACCAGGGTATCCAAACTTTTGGCCTCTCTTGGTCACACTTGGTCAAACACCAACAAAAACTGATGAGCAAATAAAAGGTTTTAAGTAAATTTATGATTTTGTGTTGGGGAACATTCATAGCTATCCTGGGCTGCATGTGGCCCATGGACTGCAATGGGAAACCCCTGCACCAAGCCTATGCAGTAAGACAGTCTGTGTTTGAAGTGTACTAAGGAAGTATTTTAACTTTTCTTCATCCACAGTTTAATTCAGCTGGTGATAAAAGCATTTTCCTTTCAAAACCAGTTTTTATACAGATGTCTATCATTCTCTTGTTCAACTTTCAGGGTTGTTGACCATAGAAGCCAAGTTGGATAGGACCACCAAGCTCTTCTGGCCCAATATCTCTGCACTATCTCCCTCAGGATCATCTTGTCAGCTCACCTGACAGCACTCCCATCTTTGCACACATCCCTTAGGAAGCTATAGGGCTGTACCCACTGATCCTAGTTTTACCACTGTGAGTAATTTTATTGTTGCTAGGATACAGCAATAAACAAGACCAAGTCTCTGTGATTATGAAATTTACATTCTAGCTGGAAGAAGAAAATAAGCAAATATATATTAGGTAGTAATAAACCCTCTGAAGAAAAATGGAGGAAGTTAAAAAGATGAAGAAACAGAGGTGCCATATGTACAATTTTATATAAGATATTAAACAAAGGATTCTTTTATTTTGAATTTATTTTTTCCATTACTATTTATCTCCCCTCTTCCATCTACACCTACCACCATCCCCCTGCAATCACCACATTGTTGTCCACATTCATAAGCTTTTCTCTTTTTTACTTTTTTGCTCAATCCTTCCACCCCTGCCACTGCCCCTCCAAGAATTGTCAGCCTGCTCTCTATGAGTCTGTCTCTATTTTGCGTGTTAGTTCAGTTTGTTCATTAGAATCCACAGGAGAGAAATCACATGGTTTTTGTGTTTCTCTGACTTACTTATTTCACTTAGCATAATGTTCTCCAGGTCCATCCATGCTGTTTAAAAGGGTAAAATTTTTTTCTTCTCCTTCTTTTTTACAGCTGAGTAGTGTTCCATTGTGTAAATGTACCATAGCTATTTAATCCACTCATCTACTGATAGAAACTTGGGTTGTTTCCAAATCTATTGTCTATGGCTATTGTAAGTAATGCTGCAATGGACATAGAGGTGTATATATTCTTTTGAATTAGTGTTTTGGGTTTCTTCAGATAAATTTCCATAAGTGGAATAGGTCTTTGATGAAGCAAAATGTAAGCCAAGACCTGAATGAAATGACGGAGAAAGCTCTATATCTAAGGGAAACATATCCAGGCAGAGGGAACAGTAAGCACAAAGACCTTACTTAGTGTAGAAAGTCAAACACTGAAATAGTATAACTTATACAACTAAAGCTTCTTTACCCCTAAGAATCTTCTCCAAATTCTTTTAGGTATTTCTCTGGTTTTTACCTCCACACTTTTAAATAATATGCTTAAATAGTTTTTCTTGGTTTGTCAATTTAGGACATTATCTATTGGCTTCTAATATAGAAGATGAGAATTGCACACTTTTGCCACCCACACTGTATTTTTCCTCCTCCTACTTCCTCCCTTCATTGTTTGAAAAGTTTCTGATTTAGTCTAAAGATTCAAATTGATAGCAGTGTTCTAAGCTTGGTAAAAATTAGTCATAGTCTATTAAAACTGTCATTAAACAAAAACATTAGGAAGCCAATTGCATTGAGTTTCTCTACATTCAGAAGAAGAAGAAGGGGGAAAGTAAAGTAGGAGAATTATTATTTAACCACACACATTCTCATAATATAAATAATTATTTGGCTCATCCATTGCTTTATACATGGCTTATAAAAGTAAAAGTAAATTCTCACTATTTATTGATGAGTCAAGGGTAATGGGTGGTTTTTCTGACTAAAACCAAATAGATTTGTAAGCTCAGGAAAGACAAACAATCACTGAAATTTATAGGAATACAATAATTACCAAATGCTAAAATATCACATCATTTCCAAAGACTCAAGTAAATGATATTTTTTTGTCATCTAATCAGTAAGTTTTAATATATCTTAAAAGAAAATTAAATAATTAAAAATGTCAAGGTTTTTTAATGAGACTAACAATATTTTTTAAGAGTATGTATTCAGCTTTAAGATATTCCCAAATGAAAGTAATTTGGACAAAATTAAAATTATCAAATTGTGAGACTGAAAAAAACCTTAGAAGCTATCATATTCAGGCAGATCATGCTGTAAGCGAATTGATTTCAGCCTCTCCACTTCAATTTTTAATTGTAGCAACTCTTCTTCTAGCTGCTGTGTTCTTTTCAATCCATCCCTCTTCTTCCTAACATACAGTCCAAATTTTTTTTTATTTTCTAAAATTATCTGATGCTCCAAATTCTGCAAATGCTGAGGGCCATACCCTAATTGTGACCTGAAGTGTCCTCCATTCCCATGATGAAAAAAGTCATCTCTCCTTGGAATATAAGATGGAGACAATGTCATTTTCACATCAACAGAGGAAAGTGATGGCAACACAGATCTTTCCATAAGATGTACTAATTCATGTTCTTCTCTTTGCTCAAAAGTGTAACTCTGTTCAGAATTTAAAACCAGTGGAGAAGGGGGTTTAATGTCTTCTTCTTGCTTCACCTCCACTGTAATAGCAACTGGATGGTGATCCAACATTCAAGTAAATTATATTTTTAATACTGGAGACATAATAAAAGAAAATGACCACTTAAAGTAAATAACTTGAGATATTACAATTTTAATGATTTACTATCTTATTACTTTCTTCCATTTAAAACATTCAGATTTTCCTAAAATGTGAAAATAAAACAGCTTGAAGCTAACATAATGTTTCTCATCTTGAATTTGTCTATAAGATTCCTTCTCAGGAAATTCACAGATCAGTGGAGTCAAGCTCCAGAGTAAAGTACAAGTATTATTTTATAAAATCTTATTTCAAAACATATATTTGATCAACAAGTAAGCCCTCCTTATAGCAAAATTATATTGATGGCAAACTAATTTATTTTCAATTATCATAAAATACAAGTTAAAAATGAAAAGTGCTTGAGCTCAGGTTAATCATGTATCATTAGGACAAAACGCATTCTCAAAGTTTCATCCAAATCTGATATTAAAGAGTAAGTTAACCTTCCTCTTCATTTAAATTTTTATCATTGGTATTTAGCCACTATCTTTTTATGTTAATTCTGAATCAGATTTTGAGTTCAATTCTATCCCCTTGGGTATGTTAGTAGTATTTTAAAAATGGCTTCATCACTAATTATAGATCATCAATACTCTTCCAATCACCAAATCATATAATTTCTCCTTTTTTACTCTTTAATATATGCAACCCTTAAAGCACTGACCACATTGGACCCTCTGGAAGCTCTCATATCTGTAGCTTCTATAATTTTGGCACTCCTGCATCTTTTCCCTGTTTTCACTATTCCTCCAATATTTTGAAAACACTGCTCCCTCTATTCAATTTCTAATCATGGAGAATTTCTACAAATCAATCCTCAGATCTCTCTTTTCTATTTGTTTGGATTTCTTACCTGTTTTATGCTTTTAACTGACATCTGTGGAGAAAGACTTAGACTTCTAACTCATGGCTTTCAAACTAAAGCCTGCTGTTTCCAGCTTTCTTTTGAACAGTTTAATTTAGAGGAACTGGGAATGGCACATTGATTGCTCTCTGATTTCATTCTATTTATTGTCATACAACTTAGAATCTGTTTTTAAAGAGACATTTTAAAAACCATAGTTTAAAAAATCCTTGTTACTGTCATTTATGAAACTCTAAGTCATTCTCTCATTTCTTTAACAATCTTTATCTTCAACAAAGCTAGTTTTCCTTGATGAGTTTATAGCCTTACTTATAGTTTTTCATCTATCTAAACTGCCTTTTTTCTTGATATCTAGGGAGAATTTTTTTATTAAAAAATACTTTTGTGAAACTACGCAGACAGTAAAAGAATTTATTTGTTACAAGGGGCTGTGAAAATATGCTGTAAGGATACTTGTACCAATGAATAGATTCTTATACATATGTCCAGACCCATAGAATGTACAATACCAATGTACATTCACCAATGGTGAATCCTAATGTAAACTATGGATGTTGGGTGATTATGATGTGCCAATATAGGTTCATCAGTTCTAACAAATATACTGCTCTTGTGGGAGTGTTGGTAATGGGGGAGACTATGCATGTATGGGGCAGAGGGTATATGGGGCACCTGTACCTTCTTACTTTGACTGTGGATCTAAATCTGCTATCAAAAAAAAATAAAGTATTTAAAATAAAAAAGACTTCAAACCTAAAAAAGCAAAGTTTCTAAGTTTCTGACTTAATCAAAATTTCTTTTTAGAGCATGAAATTTCTGCTTACTGCTGAGCCTAATAGTATACCATGAATAGGTGTCCTTTCTTATAAAAAGTTTTTGTTCTTACTAAAGTCAATTATTATTGCTTTCCTATTTGTTTGCTTAGTGTTCTCTTTTTCTGTCCATAATTCTCTCCAAACTCATCACAAGAAAGGCAGAACTGCTGTTTTTCATCAGGACAACCACAGGGAGCATTCTTAGTTTCTCTTCTGCTCCCTACTTTCCCCTCCCCTGCCTCTTCTCCTGATGTCAAGGTGGACTCATCACTTTGTAAGTCCATTCTGTAACTGTCAGCTTGGGATTTGTTTTTGCTCCTTCCTACTGGTCAACCTCCAATCTTCCTTTTTGGTTTACTCTCTTGCTTTGGTGGAACACTTCCTCCAGTAGAGTTGAAAGATATGTGACAGATCAATTTGAGATAAATCTTCCAGAGACTCTGCATCTGACTCTAGTTTATACTCACATTTGATAGATAACTTGGCAGTATATAAAATACAAGTTGAAAATCATTTTCTTTCAGAATTTGAAAGGATTCAAGTTTTGCTATGGAAACCCAGTGCTATTCAGATTCCTGATTCCTTGTATTTTACCTGCTTTCCTCCTTCTGAAAAATGTTCACGGTGATGTGTTTGAGATGGGTGTTTTCTTTCATGTGTTAGTTTCGCATTAAATGATATTTTCCATAAGGTAACAAATTTCACATTTTCTGAATTATTTCTTTGGTAATTTCATCTCTTTTTTTCCTGTTCTATTAGTTAGAAGTTGGACCTTCTGGAATGATTTGCTATTCTCTCCTGTTTTACTTATTTGTTCTCTCTTTTCCCACTTTTGTTCTACATGCTGAGGTGTTTACTTTGTTTTCTAAACCTTCTATTGAACTTTTTATTTCAGCTATAATTATTTAAACTGTTGTCTAAACATCATCTCAATTATTTTTAAATGTTTTTTTTGTGATTAGCACCTATTAAAAAATTTTGTAGATGCATAGTCTTCTCTCTATATATTTTCTAGGACATTAATTTTCAGTTTTTTAGTAAAGTTTTTTTCTTTCCTGTGTTGTCTCTTTTTCCTATGAATTCCTTTTACTCTCCACTTTATTTTGGTTTCTGATTTCAGATAAAGGAAATCTTCAAACATCTAGTAATTCTTTGTTGTCATTTTATGTATAAGAATAATGCAGTGATGTGTCTATGTTGTTGGAGACCCCAAAGATCAATAAATGACTCTTTCCTTTCTGATTAGCTGGGAAGTCTCTTTAGAGAAGAATCCCAAAATTACCTGAGGTGGTGATAAGGTTGGGTGGTAGCAGGATGCCTGCTTACTTGAACGCCTGTGGATAATCTGAGCGGCCCAATGAAGTTAGGTCTTGTCATTCAGGATGTAGACTTTCTCTTGATGCCTTGGTCATTAGCAAGGAGCTCACCCCAGCATACTTGATGTCTTCAAGTGTAGAGGTTCTCATTCAATTTCTCATGTATAAAGTGCTGAACAGAGAGCTACCTGTCTGCTTCAATTAGGGAGGAACCTGAGCGTCTAACTACTCATTTTGCTGTCATTAACCTAATCCCCTGCTTTCAGCAACAGACCTCTGCTTTCCCACTTCCCATCTTCCACAGCAGCTGGTGTCTAACCCTTAAGGCTTTTGGGGACCCCAGAGTTGCCTTGTTTATCATTGTGTCCCTTTATTAGGACCTTAGTATTTAGTTTGCCCAGTTTGGTTAACTCTACCTGCTTTTCCAAATGTTTCTTGACATTGCTTGTCTGCTGTTGTCTTTTCTTCATTTAAAAAATTTTCTCTTAGTGTCATTTTAGTGGGGTTTCAGGAGGGTGTAGAAATAAACATATGTATTCAATCTACCTCATTTGATAGAGAGTCATCCCATTTTTTCTTTTTGAGAATTGAAAGGACACTTTCTATTTTTAGTTTTATATTATCTTCTTTAAATTACTGAAAAACTAACAATTGTATCCTCAGTTACTTAATCTTTCAGATGAAAATCCTCAGTTTTTAAAGATACTGTCTCAACACATTAACCATTTTTTTGTGTGTATATTGTCCCTGAGCCTTAATTAACCTATCTTGTTCTAATAAATTATTTATAATTCTAGAGCAGGAGTTCTTAAAACTCATTGATCATTTGAATTACTGGCTTCACCCTAGAGAGTCTGATTTTGTAGTTCTTGGTTTGGGTGGGGGGAATCTATATTATGAAAGAATCCCCAGGTGATTAAAACTTCCTCTTTAATTTTTTCTTGTGGAAAATATTAAACACACATAAAAGAAGACACAATACTATAATTAACTCCCATGGACCCATCACTCTATTTCAATCATTATTAACTTATAACCAATCTCCTTTTATCTGTACCCTATCCAACCACTCCCACCCACATTATTTTTTCCCCTTCTATACATGTCATTTTAGAAAAAAATCCCAGACATACTATCACTTTAGTTGTACTTCAGTATGTACCTTCAAAAGATACTCTTTGAAAACTATATACCATTATCACTCCTAAAATATTAAAAATAATAAAAATAATCACTTAATATCATCAAATACCTAATCAGTGCTCACATTTCCAATTGTCTCATAAATTTCATACTCTTTCCTCTGTACAGTTTGTTTGAATTGTAATCTAAAAATGATCCACATAATGAGATTATTATCAGGTCTTTTGATCTACAGGTCCAAATCCCTCACACCTTCTTCTCTTCCTCCTCCTCCTTATCCTCCTCTCCCCTTTCCTCCTCCTCTTCTTCTTTTGCTTCTCCTCCTCTCTTTATCTTATAATTTATTTGTTGAAGAAATATTTCCATGATGTTTTGATGTGTAGCCCTTCTGGGAATCATGACTGCTTTGATGTACTCTTAGGGACCACCTAGGACAGGGGCTGGAGCTCCCACCTTATTTATGAAACCTTGCCCTCCTTCCCCTCCATGTCACCTGCAAGCCTTTTCATAACATTTCATTTTTGGCTCTTGTGCACCATGAGATTTAAAAAAATCATTAGTTATATTCTCATGAGTATGTATGTGGGTGTGATTTATTCCTCTCTCCTTATTGAACCTCTCTTTCTTTGGTGGGGGAAACTCTATTCTAAATTATAACTCTGCTAGCATAGTGTCAGTCACCTCAGCCAGTTCCTAGAAATATTGCTGTCATGTTTTTTTCCCAATCATTTGGAAGAAGGGGATGTCTCCTGTTGCTTTTCACCAAGCATTCTCATCTCAAGTAGGAGCACATTTTGATTAATTATTAGTTATCAAGTAGAGAGAATAGA